TATTATTATTATTGTCGTCGTCGACGACGACGACGACGACGACGACAACAACAACAACAACAACAACAACAACAACAACAACAACAACAAAGGCTTTCACGGCCAGGATCTAATGGTTGTTGTGGATTTTTCGGGTCTTTGGCCGTGTTCTGAAGGTTGTTCTTCCTAACGTTTCGCCAGTCTCTGTGGCTGGCAACTTCAGAGGACAGCAGGAGTGGTGAAACGTTAGGAAGAACAACCTTCAGAACATGGGCAAAGAGCCCAAAAAACCCACAACAACCAATAATAATAATAATGTGCCATCAAGTCAATTCTGACATATGGTGATCCTTTCCCAGGGTTTTCCAGGTAGAGAATACTCATATGTGGATTACCAATTCCTCCTTCTGGAGGTTCCCTGGAACTGTGCAACTTATTCAGGGCCACCCTGGCTGGTTCTACTCACAGGAGGCACAGTGGGGAATTGAACTTGGGTGTTTGCAAATATAGCTAGACATCACAGTGAATTGGAACCAATTCAGATTTTCCTGTATAGAGATACTGCCAATCTTTCAACCATGGTTAAGAGCATGGAAGTAGTTTGTGCTCCTGTACATTTTTTTTATGTCCTTCTCTTTCCATGACAAATCAGAACTCAAAATAGCATGAAGGTGTTAGAAATACAAATTTACAGCACTGAATATTATTGTTACATATCTATATTACTAGCATCGCTTCAATTTAGTAACATAGCAATGGTTAAATTAGAAATATGAATTGTGCAGGAGGTAGGAAGAAAAGTAATTCTGTTCATGAATAGAGATAGGGTTCACAGTCCATTCCCAGTATCCTAATCATGGTTAAGCTCAGCAGTTCTGTATCTGTATGATCTACATTCTTAGAGACTATACTACAAGATCAATAGCCTAAAATATCACACCTTTTCAAATATATTTTCCTGTGTAGGTGGTACTGTAGAAATCTGAATAGGAGTAAAGCAGAACAACTCCTCCGAAATGAGGTGAGCAATTATAGTACTGTTGTGTCTCTAAAGCATGGTACAATACAATATTGTTAGAAATGTTATAAAACATTTAATATGCTCAGTACAAACAATAAAGGTAATTACACAGTTTGGCAGCTATGGCCTTCTTTCATTTCTTTGTATTTTAGGATAAAGAAGGCGGCTTCATGGTGAGGGACTCCAGTCAACCAGGTTTATATACCGTATCTCTGTATGCGAAATTTGGAGGGTAAGTCATTCAAACATTTGATTATAGTCACCCCTACCTCAAATATGTGTGCAAACATTCAACATTTAAAGGTGAAAAATTAATGTTTCATCATCAGAATCTTTTTAGGAGAGTAAACAATGCTTTTTATCAGTTTAAGTAGGTAACTGGATCAATGAGATTAGAGTAAGATCCTGGGATTTATTTTATAATTAATGTTGAAATAAATTGACTTATTCTGAAAGTCAGTTCTTAAATCCTCTGTGGTCAGGAGCACAAATAAACAACTTCTTAATACATGACTCTTTTATTTTTATTTCTAATTTCTTTGGCCATGTATTCCTCATATGCCAAAAATTCATTTTCCTTTTTGCTTATATGGTTACAGTTACTTACCCATTTGTTTACACCTTCATTGAACAATAGTTGGATTCTAACAGTGTTTCCTGTAGTAACAATGGAAACTGTAAAAAGGAAATAAAGAGTCATAAAATAAAGTATTAGTTTACTAGTACTGTAATAGCTCTCTATTACCCCCTTGCCTTTAACACCATAAGTAGTTTCTACGGAAAAGCTCAAAGAAATCTTTTATATAAACTGTAAAATAGCAGGACTTGTGTTTGCTTACAGATAACTACAATAAATATGTACTGTGTACTTGCTTTTAATTATCTTTATGAACAGGAAAGACAAGGATCCTTATTGGTTACTAGAAGCTTACATCAATAAATGTTGGAAGGCAAAATATGTTTTCAAATTACTCAGTAGTCATTTCCATACATCTAATAAATTTAGAGACATACATTGTTACTAAGTTGTGTAACACAGGTTTAGCCAATTTAAATGAAAAAAACTGTACTATATTTTAATTATTGCACTGCTTTTTTTCCTAGAGAAGGGTTATCTGGAATACGACACTATCATATAAAAGAAACACCACAGAAACAGTACTACCTGGCAGAAAAACACACCTTTAACTCTATTCCAGAGTTAATTGAGTATCATAAACACAATGCTGCAGGTAAGTAAATCTGAGTTTCCTATCATTTGGATAAATTCATCGCATAGCAAGGCAATGCAATTCCTATTCGGGCTTACCAGGACTGCTGCTGTGTTTCTGGTAGCAGTCACTACTGCCAAGCTTCCCAAAGCGTGCACTGTAGCACACCTCGCGGTGCCCCACAGCTCGCTGGTGTGCCACCAAACCAACCAGGAGCAACACAGAAGCTTTTCTTTGTTTTTTCAGCAAGTTGGTGGCAGCGCTGCTGCCACTGCTGCTCTTCCAGCTGACTCTGGCTCCTTCATGCTTCTTTGTTTCCTGCTTTGCACAGCACCCCTTGCTGCTCTTCCTGTGCCAGCACCACCACCCAGGGGACCACAATCAGAACAAGTCTTGGAATCACTGCACTAGTGGGTGGTACTGGACACTGCTGGGCATTCATCGTGTGCTGTTAAACATATTCACATTTCAAGCAAATGTATTTTATTCAAGGTCTATTCAGTGAAAATATGTTGTTTTCCCATCTTGTGTTATAGCTCTTAACTATTGCTACTGACTTCCATGCCCTGGTCAGTTTTTATTTGACCTCAGTTTAACAACTGACCGTTTTCAAATAACTTGACAATGAGTTTAAAGGATCAAAATACTGCTCAGAAATACATCTTTAGCATCTCAAATTACATTGCTCGCAAGTGAGACTTATAATTTCAGTGAAATTAGATGAAATTTACTTATAGCCTGTGTACAGTATAATCATGCTAAAAGCTGTTGTGGGTGCATCCACGTTTTTGGATGCACCCACAACATCCACTGGGTGACCAGTGGAATGTTTGGCCCCCTTTTTCAACCTTAGAGTGTAATAATACTACTGCAGCTAAATCCACTTTCAGTTTCAAAAGTTATTTGTATTACATTCTGGAGGTGAGCTGGCCAAACCCTACAGGTTTGGGAAGAGCCTAAAGGGCCTTGGGACCATTATGGATTTATTAATAAAAGAGAGAAAGTTGTACCCCACTGTATCTCATCTGCCTGTTTCATAATCCCAGAAGTTACATACTTTGTGGCCAGTGTGTTGTGTTCTACATTTGCTTAATCATTTGAACCCTTCTAGTTTTCTAAGATACCAGCCCAAAGCCTGATGCTTAGCAAACAAAATTGCACAGGAGTGGAACAATTGAATCAATTGGGATTTGGTAAGTCAACTCTTTCATAAGATCCATTGATTTAGCATAGCAGGTCAGTTAGAGTAGATTAATTTGAATCAGCCCTTCATGGATTGCTGCCTTGTCATGGCGAAGGGGCTTGAGTAATTCAGAGAAGCTATGGGCTATGCCGTGCAGGGACACCCAAGATGGACAGATCATAGTGGAGAGTTCTGACTAAGTGCGATCCACCTGGAGCAGGAACTTGGCAAACCACTCCAGTATCTTTGCCATCTCATGAGAAGAGAAGACTCCCTGGAAAAGACCCTGATGTTGGGAAAGTGTGAAGGGAAGAGGAGAAGAGGATGACAGAGGACAAGCTGGTTGGACAGTGTCATCGAAACTACCAACATGAATTTGATCCAACTCCGGGAGGCAGTGGAAGACAGGAGGGCCTGGCATGCTCCGGTCTATGGGGTCATGAAGAGTCGGAGATGACTTAACAACTAAACAACAACAACAAATTTGAATCAGTGGAACTTGCGGAGGAGTTGACTCAATAACATTCCCATCGATTCAGTGGGCCTATTGTAGTGCGATTTAGTGCTCTAAGCAATACAATTTTGGCCATAGAACTATAATTTCTTATATTTAACATTCTTGACAGTAGAGTGCTTGCAATTCTTTTATGTGGCATGAAAACAGTCTCAGTAGTGTAACTTGGTTGGTGCTAAGCAGAGGATAACTTGATAAGCATTCTTAATTTCTGCTGTTGCCTCACTTTTAACAATATAAATTTTCTGTGAATTTAGGTCTTGTGACAAGGCTACGATATCCAGTGACTCCAAAGACAAAACCAACTACTGCAGGATTCAGTTATGGTACATTTACATATCTAAATGAAAATTGATTGCTACTCACCCCAGGAAAGAATAGATTCCTTAAATCTATGGACAGCTAAAATGTTGGAAATGTTGTTTAATTTATTCTCTCCTTGGTTGTTTGATATCAGTACCAGTGGAAAGCCGTTTCAGCGCCATAGACTAAAGACAGGGAACAAGATTTGTTCTGGAACCCAGCTGCCTCCTGGGATTAAAACTGCAGGCCATGTGATGTTAGGGTCGGACCCTATTCTGCTCTCCTCCCCACTTAGAACCCCTTTATGCATGGAGAAGAGACTTGGGTAGCACCTCCTGATGTTGTGTCAAGATGTGTGCTTTTTTGTGTGCTGCTTGTGCTTATGGGGTGGCAAAGAGTACACAAAGGAGCACTTTCTTTGATCAGTGATCAGAGATAACAGTGCATTTCCTAGTTCAGTGCTCATGCTTGGAAAGAGGACAGGCTCTGGGATAGGACCTCTTGGGTCAGATTAAACCCATGGGTCAGATGTTCCCAACTCATTCCATAAACCAACCATTCTCAACCTTTTTCCTGGCCAAGACCATAAACATCGTATGAAAGAAATATAGGCCGAATCAGGATTGTGTAAGTCATATAGTAAATCTCATAAGGTGGTGTGTGTAGAATTGTTTCCAATCTGTGCCCCCCCTTCAGATACCCCATTGGGAATAGCTGCCATAAACCTATACTTAATACTAAAATAAATGTGATAGTAGTCATTCTTTTAGTCCTCCTTACATTCAAGATCAGAACCACACTATGGGCTAAAGGAGGCTTTAACCCTTGTTCCACCAAAGTCACGATTTCTACCAGACATATATCTGTTCTTTGCCTCTGAAGGGAAGACCTTATTGATTTGATGGTAATTTCCCTACTGGGACTGACTGTTGCAGAGGCAATATGCATAAAAGCCCACTTTCCCACACATGTGTGTACAATCTATATTGGAGTCCCCAGTGGCTGTTTAATAAAGAAAGAACAAACATGAGTTACTCAACAAGATACCGTCAATCAAAAAACTGAAGTGAAAGCTTCTAAACTCTTCTCATGGCCACACCAGAAGAGAAGGGGACAATGGTCTATTCAAGCCATGCAAGTTCCAGTTATAGAGCTTCTTGTTCCAGTACAAGAAATAATAATTTGTTGTGAAGTCTAAATATACCTTTTGTCCTTTGGAAGAAAAATCAAGATTCTGGAACAAGAATTGTTTACCAAACCTATGATAGATGGGATGTAAAGCAATGTCCAGAATCCTGTTGGTGTTCACCTAAAATATATGTAATTTGCCAGCACTAATTATTGAAGTGCTGATACATGTCTCAAGTGCTTGCCTGGTCACATTTACTTGACTGCACAAGCAAGATGTGTTCCCAGCACCTTGTCAAGTAGCTACAGTCAGTCAGTATTACTTGAGCATCGCTGGTTTATTTTTCTTCCCAACAGAGAAATGGGAAATCAACCCTGCAGAGCTCACTTTTATGAGAGAATTGGGCAGTGGCCTCTTTGGAGTGGTACGTCTTGGCAAATGGAGAGCACAATATAAAGTGGCCATTAAAGCAATCCGAGAGGGCGCAATGTATGAAGAGGACTTTATAGAAGAAGCTAAAGTGATGATGTAAGTAATTGGTCTGAAAGCCTAAATAATCTGGCCTTGACATGTCTTAAGGAATGCCTTTCCCATAAGATTTAGGAAACAGTCTTGCGCTCTGTCCATTTGTTTGCATACATTAAGTCAGCTGTCCAATCCTGTAGGACATTTCTAAGACTGTATCACCACTGCAGGATGTCCCTTGGTTGTCCTTGTTAGCTCTTAGCTGCCAACAAAAAGTAAAGATATTTTGACTTCCCAGAACTTTTAACCATCAAGACATTATTTGCATTAGGGTTTTCTGATCTATTCTAAGTTTTTAATGCTTTCATCACTTTCAGCTGTATTTTAGAGACTTATTTCTAATGTATAAAGTCATGATTATGGGAACCAAGTACTTTAAAATTTTTGTGTAGCAGCAAGTCCCTCATATTTTCTAAATTAGTAAAGCACATGCAGAATATTACAACTATATATTATCTGAAGTTGTAGCAATATGTATTTTTTAATTCCTTTTAGGAAGCTGACCCATCCGAAATTAGTCCAGCTGTATGGTGTCTGTACACAGCAGAGACCTATTTACATAGTGACAGAGTTCATGGAGCATGGCTGCCTGTTGAATTACCTCAGACAAAGACGTGGGCACTTTAGTAAAGATAGTCTGCTGACAGTGTGCCAAGATGTGTGTGAAGGAATGGAGTATCTAGAGAGAAATAGCTTTATTCACAGAGATCTGGTAAATAATAACTTGTTTTCTGTAACTGTTATGTCTGTTATATATTTTACAATTTAGACAGTGAAGGTGAATATTAATCCAACTAGAGTAGACCCTCTGAAATAAATGGTACCAAATCATGAAGTGGCAGGAAACAGGTGCCACTGCCTATCAAGGCTGCTTGACAAAGGACAATGCTGGCAAGAGGTTGGGAAGAACTTAAGTGCACCCTATAAAGGCCAGATCGAAGCTAGCGCTTCTGTGGTCCACACACTTGAGTCCCTGATTCCAGTCAGGCCAGTGGCCGCCATGAATTCCCAAATGCTACCAGGAGCCCAGAAGAGCTTCTCCATTCATGCCAGTGAAGCTCAGACTGGACCTATGATGACTCAGAGGGGCCCTTGCTTTTACTGAAACCTGTTTTGTTTTGGCTAAATTAATAAGTGGATTGGCCTATGAGTATATAGTAAATAGAAATTCAAGAAAAGCAGGAAAAGTATTCTGTTCCTTGCTCATGGAACTTTGTAACGATGCATAAATGTTGACATTTCTTATCTATTTGGAAACTTTTGTTAAGCTCAGTGAAATTCTTGTCCAGTCCTAAACCCCTCCCCCAACAAAAAAACCAGAATACCTTGGGCACTGGAGGCAGCTGCATGAATAATATCCAGATGGATAACTCCAGATTGTCCTGATGTTGTTGAATTGCAACTTGCATCAGCCCTAGTGACCCTAGCCAGTGTCGGTGTCTATGGAGAAAGATCATAGGAGCTAACATCTGGTGACATATCAGAGGCCACCATTTATCTTATTTCGGGGCTCAAGGGTTGAAAGTAACACAGTGATTCAGTTCATTAATGTTAATATTCTCACTTTCAGATTGAACAGGAGGAAGGACAACTAAAGTTTTGAAAGTAATTCATTAATGTTAAAACGGTTATTCTTAACACATTGCTCTCCAGATGCATTGCTAGTCTTGGCCTCCTTTAAAAAGACAAGCCAGTTAACATGAATAAGAATTTTAATGTTAACGAGTTAATTAATACGCTGTTTTCAAGCTCTGCTGGGACTGCCTCTGTAAATGAGCAGTTGTCAGAATTTAAGCCAAGCATTTTCCTATTTAGACATATTCGCATTGTTAACTGTACAACAATTCTTTTTTTTCCAGGCTGCTAGGAACTGTTTAGTGAATGAGTCAGGAGTGGTGAAAGTATCTGACTTTGGAATGACAAGGTATTGATCAGTGTCTTCTTCCTCACAACATTTAGATAGAATTAATTAGCTTGCATGGCGTAGCAATCTCCCAGGTAGCAGAACATGATTGCAAAGATGGAGTTCATGGTCTCCATAAAGCTTGTCCCAAATATGAGAGATTTATAGTTTTTGTTTGAGTGGCTGGAGATAGGCAGCCAAGTATAATATAGGCTAGTGCCTTGATTAGCTCACCCTTGAGATGAGATTATTTATGCTGTTACTGCTGGGAACAAGACTTCTCTCCACCCAACCAAAAATTGTTGTTTAAGAGAATTATTTTCCTTTCGTGATTTTTCTCCCCATTCCCAGTGGCTTCTAGCAGCTTCAAGGATTTAGTGAGGCAAACCTATAAATACATTGTTAGCTAGCTTTTGCTTAGATTTCTTCCCAGAGCAAGTATCCAGGAACATTGTACCCCTCTGGAACAGTATATTTAAGAAGTCTGTTCAAGAAAGGTACATTAGCTTTATTTTGCTTGAATCGTTAAGAGTACTGCGTCCATTTACCAACACTGTATTTAATAAGTGTTACATTGCTGCTGTTTTTTTCCCCAAGAACTTCCAGTCTGATTGACCGAGGTGTGTACTAGGCCTCACAGTTTATACATATGGCATCCTTGAAACTTATAACTGGACATTACAATAGGATAGGGACTAAATTCATGAGTAAATCAGACATTGTAGTCCATCAAGCCAAATACAGTCCCATCAGCCATAAACAGAGACCCACAATTGTTCTGGCTGCTTGCTTGGGACAGTATAGCAATAGGATGTTGTGGTTGTCAAACTCCTGGCAGGACACAGTTTATGCCTTGATGGGCTGAAGTCATACTGGAGTACTTCCAGATGGATTGCATCCAGCAAATTAATAAAAGGCATCAGACAGTGCCTCTGTGTATTTAAAATGCACAAAACGGAGGCAGCAGTGGGAAAACATAGGTGACTATGAACAGAAATTGTCATCTTCTGGATGAACACATCCCATGTAAAATAGTATGAACAGGACAGGGTGGTTGGCTAGTTTGAAGTACCCTTCCATCAGGGCCGGACTGGGACCAAAAATCGGCCCTGGCATTTAGAGCACACAGGCCCACCGGCTGTGGGGACACAGGCCCACCTGGCTTTGGGCCAGGATTGGCCCTATGGACCCCTGAAATGCACCGGGGGGGATTTTGAGCGAGGTGCTCTCGCCATCAACCTGGCCTACCTCACAGGGCTGTAGGGAGGAGGATAAAACTTGGGAGGGAGCCGAGGATATGAACGAAACGAATAAACAGAACCTCCCCGTGCAAGAGGAGTGTATCTTTTCTGCCGCAGCGCATCCTAAGGAGCAGGATAAGAAGGCAACTCGTATCTAAAGCGGGGTTGTGACATTCTCAGGGGACGGTGAAACAAAGACAGCGTAGCCCAGCTCTGATGAGGAAATTTTCACTTAAAAAAAAAAACTGGCCAGGAAAGTTGATCTTCCCGGGACCGGGTCAGGATCCCTCCGGTCGAGGCTGG